CCCTGCTGTGTTTCATATGGTGAGTGTAGAGAACCGGAGAATCTTTTTACTGGAAACGAGGCATTACATCTTAGTCCTCACCGGTGACAACGCATCTACATTTAGATACATAATCGAGAATAGATGTAGATGTGTATGGGCCGTAGCAACCACTTACTATCAGGTGGACTGTGTGCTCGTTTGTCACCCTTATTCTATTAAAGAAAACTTTCTGAGATTTCAGTAAAATAATGTTGAGTATTGTAAGCACTCGTACAATTATGTCTCATGTTAATAAAGCTATTGGGCTATTTTGAATTGTAATAAAGTGATTTTATTTATAGGTTAAATAATTTATTTACCTTTCTATATCAAGAACCGTTTTTCTGTCACTCCTATTGAATTTAACAGTGCTTGCTGAAATTTAGTATCTTTAGATGGATCAGAATCGCGCGCTGATCCGGCTGTTAGATATTGCAAAAATAATCGAAAATATTTATTTTTAATTTCATGCCGAAGACTACCTTGTTTTATTTTATTACGGTCAAATAATATTTATTAGGTTATAAAGCAAGTATTTTTGTAAACGTTTTGTATGTAAATATTAATGTTTTCATTATTTTTTTTTTCTATTTATTAGGTTTACCAACAATTGCTAACACTAACACATCAAATTAGTACAATAATTTAAAAGTATTAACAATAGTGCTACAATTACTTAAAGGTAAACTCCGCATGCATATAACTTTATAAAACATAAACTGAAAAGACAATAAGTTATTCCTCAACTAAAATTAAAAATATATCTATTAGTAAGAATAGTGCTACATAAACTCAAAAAATGAAAATGAAAATGAAAATAATAAAAAATTAAAAAAAAAATATCTACTTTACGCTATTAACTTATACATTTACGGAGACACTTGGAGAATATTCTGGGTGAGTCAAAGTGAATGTTGATTATTTCTATTGTTTACAGTTATTATCACGTCTTAGCTTTACACCAAGAATTACATTAGAAATTCTTGATGGGATGGGATGTAACGCGCATACATTATTTTCATCAAGAACTATAATATATATATATATATATATATATTTTACCAGTAGAGTTTTAAAAAAGTCTTCAAAATCTTAAAAAAGTTCAATGAATTTAAAAAATGCCAATAATTATATAATTTCAAGTCAGTGTTTTACATTTAAAGATCAGTTATAAAAAGCCAAAGTTATTATTTTCATTTTGATTAATTTAATTCGAGACTAAAATAAATGTGAAAGGGCTTTCTCCAATAAAAGTTTTCATCAAAAATAACATAGACTTATAAAAGTCATATACACGGTCAATCATACTGAAGATTATCAATTGTACTACAAAATATTTAAAAGACTATTTCCAGTATAATGACCCGAATATCATCATTAATATTTGACTGGCACACTTAATAGTTTTATCACATGGCTAAATGATTGACTTTTATATTATGATAAGATCATGCTTTTCTATAAAAAGTTGCAAGAAATTTTAAATCACGGCCCTATTGGTTTGTTTTACTTTTTACTTAATTAGTGAAAAACAAGATCTAAAAGTTTACTTTCTTGTGTAAAAAGTGCTATTTAGAATTTAATGCAAATGATAATTAAAGTTTCTATGTAAATAAGTGTAACATAGCGGGTATTATATTCAATGTTAGCGGCCATCCATATTTGCAAAGCCAGCATCATTTTCTGTACAGAAACCAGCAAAGTGTTGCTCAAGGCACTATAAACAAAGCAGCTGATAAAATGTTACACTCATAGCTGTTAACAAAAACTGTTTCCGCAAATGGTCTTATAGATAATAATAACTAGTCCGCCGTGTTAGGTGCAGGAGCTATTATTAGATGGAGAAGAGGTAAAATTTTGTTTTAGAAATGCGCAATCAATATTGTTTTGTCTGCAATTGAGCATAAAATAAAAAATAACTTCAGCCAAAGAGCATAACTGGCATTATACTCAGGCCCATTAATTGGTATGGAAAAAAATAATTTTACCAGGTTTCAAAAAATCAATCAAAATTCAAAAAAACACAAATATTAAAATCAAAAAATGTATATATGTATGTCTATACATACATATAATGATTTATGGCCGCTTAGGAACTGACGGTGACTCACTATAACATCCTACATTCACGCCGAAACTAAGAGGAGAGAATCACTGTAGAAAAGGTAATAATTTATTGCGGATATTTTGTGATAAAGTTAAAAAAATTATAAACTTATCCAAGTTAATCTAACTTAGTCTAACTTATCCTCATGCGTTACAAAAAATAATAAAATAGTAAGATGGCGTCAGTTTTTAAGAAGATATAACAAAAATAAACAAAAAAATAAATTTCAAAAAAGTTCAGTATTTAATTGATTATATACCGCTGACACTTAATCACGCTTTTGGAAACCACGCCAGTTGAAAACAATACTTGTGTGAAAAGACAAAATCTTCTTTTCAAATTTCCGCCGAGTTATAAGTAGAAGTCACGTGTCAATTTTAATTAAATATATTTTATATGAAGTGATCTTGACTACGTTTCATCATTTAACCATTGGTAAAAATTAAAACAGGAATTTTATGATTGCATTTACAAAAAACATTATTAGTTGAACCTTGCAGCTTGTTCATTATTTTTATTATAAATACCTATAAATGTATATATTATTAATAAATAGTTCCCATAATATTTTGGATTATGTTTTATTTTGCCCTATCTGCAATGTTCCTCGCTCTATAGAAAATGTGGCGTATGACATGACTGACAATCTTTCGAACGTTTTAGATAATAGGTACAAAGATGTTTTACGTTTTCGTCGCCTCCACATGATATTTTTGTCAGCATAGGGTACCTTTCTATATCTGAAACGAATATAAATATTGCTACAAAGTAAAGTAATAGGCTATACAAGTACCTCTACTGGGCACAGGACTCTTTTTTATTTCTGAGAGGGTTTTAGGGCAAGGATATGACCGCCGTGCTTCCCCAATGCGTGTTGACGAAAATTGCAATTACAAATTTCATTCGTGCTGTCGGGGATCAAACCCAGGAAAATTTACAGCGAACGCTTTGACCCAGATCTATTAATACAATACAAATAAATACGATTTAACATATATAATAAAAAACTCTTACGTACTTGAAACTTGAACACTTGATAGCTCGTGACGCCTACCGGACAAAGCTACAGCACAATGTAATTGAAGATGCGTAACCGCGACATAATTCTCAGTGATGCGCAAGCATAACAGGCAGTATGTCACTTATATAATTGTCATCTCTGCAGTCTATTAATCTTTGCACTTTTATAAGTAATACAGAACGTAGTTGCTAGACGGTGTTGACATCGGCTAAAATCTCTTTTTTTTTTTTTTTTTTTTGCGGATGGAAAATCATCAAATGACGCCTTTCGCTCTGGGTGGAGCGGAAGGGAGTGTCAGACTTTTACTGACTAAAAACCATCCGTGTTCCTTCAGTGCCCTTACGTTCCGGAGCCGCGGTATCTCTTTCGAACAGCCCGCAGCCCCGGCAGGCGTCGGCCCTTGCGGGCCCCTTCACGCTGCTGACAGCTCTTAGAGGCGCGCGTGGAACAAAACGCGCCGTCGACACGGCCTGTCGTCGTTAGACGGACGGACGGCGAGCTACCCATTGCTCGCCGTCCACAGGCCCGCGCCTACGGTGGCCGGGGGCCACGACGTAGCCCCCGACGCCCGGGGCGTCTCCCGCGGCGGCCGGGAAGGAAAGCTGCTGCTCTCTCCTTCTCCCGCTCCGCCACCTCCTTCGCTAGCATCACTGCTTCGCAGAAGGTGGTGACGGCATCCCATTCCGTCTCGCTCCGGACCATGGCTTCGACCAGGGCCGGACGCGAGAGGTCGCCGCCGCCTATCGCCGCTACGAGGACACGGCGGTGCTCCGCCCAGGCAGGGCACACCTCCACGGTGTGCTCCACCGTGTCCTCCGGTCGATCCTTGCAGTGGGAGCACCCGGGCGTTTCCTCCCGCCCGATTCGGTGCAGGAACCTCCCGAACACACCGTGTCCGGTGAGGACCTGCGTCAGGCGGAAGGTGAGGACGCCGTGGCGTCTCTCCAGCCACTCCTCAAAGAGGGGTCTTATCGCCGCTATAGTGGCGTGCCCAGCACGGGGTTGCAACAGTCGCTCTCTCCATGTCGCCATGAGATCATGCCGGAAGTCTGTCCGCTGCACGACAACTTGCCGTGGCAGCGGGGTTTCCCCCCGGCATAGTGCCTCCGCGCGCCATTCGTGTAGGCGCGCGAGGACTATCGCCTCCAGATCCCATGGTGGCAATCCGGCAAGGAGGCACGCTGCCTCGCGGGAGATCGTGCGGTAGCCGTGAACCATTCTTACGGCAACCACCTTTTGGGGCGCGTTCAGGTGGTGGACGGCAAGCCGCGCCAAACCACGCGCCCACACCGGGGCCCCGTAAAGGGCCATGGACCTCACAATCCCCGCGTAGAGCCTCCAGCAGGAGGCGTTTGGCCCCCATAGGTTCGACAGGAGCCGCCTGAAGGCAGCCCCGGTCCATTCCAGTTTGGGAGCCAAACGTCGGAAGTGCTCAACGAAGTTCCATCGGCCGTCGAGGACGAGTCCTAGGTACTTCAACGTCGACTCGACGCCGATGGATACCCCTCCTACCATCGCTGAGGATCCCGGTGGTGGCCTGTTCCGAGGACCATGGAAGTGCATGGCGTCGGACTTGTGCAGAGCCACCTCAAGACCCAGCTGCCGGATCCTCTCAACGACTATCGCAACCCCGCGTGTCATATTTTCCGCCGCCGCCTCGCGTGTCGTCAGCGTAGCAAACTACGCTGACGCCGGTAGGGAGGTCGGCGCGCAGCACCCAGTCGTAACCGATGTTCCACAGGGGCGGCCCCAGAACCGAACCCTGTGGGACACCGCACGACATCTCTCGCCGGTTCCACTCACCGTTGCGACCGGGGTAGATGACGGCCCTATCCGTCAGATAGTCCCCGACTATACGACGGAGATAGGTCGGCACCCGGTGATACCGGAGTGCCTCCCTAATGCAGCTCCAGGGCATGGAGTTGAAGGCGTTGGCGATGTCGAGAGACACCGCCAAAACAACCCCCCCCTCCTGGCCACTGCATCCCCCGTCGTGAGGGCTCTTACGCGCATGATGGCGTCCATCGTAGAGCGCCTCTTGCGGAAACCAAACTGGTGTTCCGCAAGATCCGGCCCCGTCCCCGCAAGGTGCTCGGCGAGGCGGTTTGCAATGACTCTTTCAAAGAGCTTGCCCACCTCGTCGAGCAGCACCACGGGCCGGTATGCGGACGGAGAGTCCGCAGGGCGCTCGGCTTCCGAATGAGGACCAGCTTCCCCGTCTTCCAACGAAGCGGGAATTGGCCTCTCTCCAAGCATGCGCTTAGGAGCCCCTCCAGTCGGGGCCCGAGAGCCTCCGAGGCCAGGACCCAGGCTTTGCCAGGCAAGCCATCGGGTCCTGGGGCGGTATTCCTGGCCTTGAGCCTACGTACCGCCACTCTCAGGTCTCCCCCGGTCCCTTTCGGGATGTCGTCGTCGTCGTCCTGGTGGTCCGCTTCCGGCACCGCAGGTGGCGGAGCCATAGGCGGGGGTGGATGTTCCCCTCGCGCAGGAAACAGAGCGCTCACCACGTCCTCCACGAGCTGAGGCCGGAGACTCTGCGTCAGCGGGGGGCCCAGGTGCGGAGTTTATTCCGCACCATCTTGTAAGGGCGCCCCCACGGATCTCTGTCGAGAGTCTCCAGCATCTCCTCACGGGCCCGATCCCGGGCCCGCATGACAGCCTCCCGGAGGGCGGTCTTCGCCGCTCTGTATCCCTCGTACAGCTCCGCCTCAATGGCTGCCGCATTCGGTGGACGAATGCGGAGCCTGCGATGCCTGGCGTACAGGTGCCGCGCGGCGACACACGCCTCGCGCAGAGACGTCAGCTCACGCGACCACCAATACACCTGGCGCCGGGCTCTTCCTGGCCGGACGCGGGGCATTGCCACGTCACATATCTCGGACATGGCCTCCTGGAACCACCCTGCCTCATCATTGTTGTCGGCAGGCCTATCCGGTGATGACACCCAGGCCTGCACGATCGAGGCTTCCAGGAGGAGCTCCCGGTCCAGCTGCTTCAGCGCCCAACGCGGACCACTCGGGGCCTGTTGGACTGGCGCGCTCGAGGGCTGGGTGGAGACGTCAAACCGGATGTACCGGTGGTCGGAGTAGGTCTCCACCCCCTCCATGACTCGCCAGTCAGTGGCACGCGGCGACAGAGCGGGGCTAGCGAACGAAATGTCCACCACCGACTCGACGGCTAGCATGGGCTGTGGACTAAATCCAGATGTTGAGGATCATACACCTTCCCTGTTGGACCTTCTGCTGACCTCTCATCCGGACGGATATCAGGTTTCCGTCGATGCCCCTCTTGGCTCTTCGGACCATTGTCTGATCCGGAGCTGATGCCACTCACGCTCCCCTCGCGGCTGCGTTCTGCAGGTTGCCACCGTGTTTGGCATTACAGGTCGGCGGATTGGACGAAATGTCCACCACCGACTCGCCCCGTATCCGCACACACATGTGGACAGAACCCCGATTTAGGACGACCAGGCCTGTCTCCAGAGCCCAGTCTTCCACCATCCTACTCCGCACATCTGTACGACGAGAACCCCAAGCCAAGTTCTTGGCATTGAAGTCCCCGAGGACAAGCACGGGGAGGGGATAGCTTCCGACGACGACTGCTCTCAGCTCTGCAAGAGAGTTGTGGAGCTCGGCGAGACATCGGTTCGGGGAGAAGTACACCCCCACAACGACGAACTCCCCGAACCGTGCTGCTACGCACCCCTGACCCCTCCTGACACCTTCAAGGGTCGGGGTACCGGCGGCGGCCGAAGAGATGATGGCCACTGAGCCGTTAAGGTCCGCCACCCAGTCCTTCCTAGGCCAGACAAAATACGGCTCAGCGACCACAGCGATGTTAATCGACCACTGCGCCATGCTCTGGAGCAACAGATCCTGAGCGCAGGCGCAGTGGTTGATATTCGCCTGGAGGAAGCTTAATGGGGCCGTTATAGGCATTCCATTTCAGCTTCCTCCACGGGGCGCCCCTCTGCAGGCGTCGGTGTCGCGGCGGCGGCGGCGGCGACAGTGACAGCGGCGGCGGCGGCAGTTGCAGCTGCGGCGGTGGCCATAGAGGCGGTGGCGGCGGAGGAGGGCCCTCCCCTACCCGCGGCCTTGGCCTTGGCGGCTGACACGCAGGCCCTGCTTCCGGCCCAGTGATCGGCTGGCTTGACGGTCGCCACACATGCATCACAGTGCGGCGTGGCGCAGCAGGTCGCCGATATGTGTCCGGGCTGACAGCAGCGGAAGCAGAGGCCACTGCGGTCAACCTCCGAGGCGCATTTCACTGATACGTGATGCCCCACGAGACAGCGGTTGCACCTCAGAGGTCTGGGCTCCAGCAGCTTAACCTGCGCTGAGACCCAGCCCACCAGAAGCCTTCGGCCCTCCACTATGGTTTTGGCCGCCATAACAGGGCAGCACACCGTGGCGGCATGCATACCCTGTTGATCCGGGCGTATGGCGCCTGCCCTGACCTGGTCAGTAGTGCACCCCCCGGACCTGGCGACGGCGGCCACCAACTCCTCCTCCGATACCGAGTCGTCCAGACCCATGATGCGCAAGTCTGCGCATCTGACGGGCCTGGACACTCGGGCCTCGTCCGCGTTCAGGGACGCTCTGAGCTTCGCAGCCAGAGCGTCCGCAGTCGCGCCACTGGATTCCCCGGGGATCTCCAGCATACGGGCCCCCGTCTGGGTGACTTTGAGCCGGAGGCCCCCAGTGATCCCGAGCTCCCCGAGATCCACCGCCTCTTTCGCCTTCGCAAGCAGATCGCGGTAGGTAACGCCCTTCTTTTCCGCGTCCAGCTGTAGTGTAATCACTACAGCTGCGGTCTTCGGGGCGCGGAGCCTAGCCGCGATCTTGCGCGCCCTGAACTGACGCTGCCGCTCCTGCTCTTTGGCCTTTTTGGCTGCCTTCTTCCCCTTCTGTTTCTCCCCGACCACCTGCCAACCGGCTTCTGCCGCGGGAGGTGTAGGGAGCTGGGGGGGCGGTGGCGGCGGCGGCAGCTGGCTTGCCGCTGGCGCTGGCCCATTCGCCGCAGGCACTGGGGCTGGCGCAGCCATCACCTGTGCTGCCGCCTTGCCCTTTTTCGCCTTCGCCTTGCCTCTCTTTCCCGTCGCCGGCTTAGCCGGAGCCGGTTCAGCCGGTATCGGTCTTGCCGGAGCCGGCTTTTCTGGGGGGGGAGGGGCAACTGCAGCCCCACCCGAGGGCTGGCTGGACGGCCCCGGCCTGGATGTGGCAGCCGTGGCCGTCGCGTAGGAAACCGTTGCCGGCCTCGCCGCCGTCTTGTTTGCCCCTACGGGGGGGGGGGGGCGCAGGACGATGCCCTCCAGAGAACCGGTGCTGGAAGGCAGCCAGCTCCTGCCGGACCAGGTTCAGAACCTGGTTCTCCACCGGCACGGGCTGGCTTGGGCGCTGCGTCTGGGGCGCCGCGCGAGGGGCAGGCTCATGTAGACTGGCCAGGTCTGCGCGGAGCTTCTCATTCTCCTTCTGGAGAGTCTCCATGGCGGACGTCAGGCGGGCCACGTCCGCCCGCAGCTTCTCCACCTCGTCCGCATTAGGCCCAGCCCCAGCAAAGTTGGCCTCCGCAGCCGCCATAATGGAGGCGGAGGCCGCGGGAATGGCCTTGACTTTCGAGGAGGACTTTTGCTTGTTGGCCACGACCTTGATCGCGGCCTCCACCTCCTTTACGAATCTGGCCTTACGCTCCACCTCGGAGCCGCCAGTCGCATCTGTTTCTTCGCCTGATTCCCGAGCCGTATCGTCCGGGTGGCGCCCCTCCTTGGCAAGCTTTGCCGCTCTTTCGGCCCTCTGATTGGTCCCCTTGCCTCTCAGCCCGCCCCGCCTGTTGGTGGGGATTTTCCGGGCCGAAACCTCCTCTTCACCGGATGCCGACCCCTGGTCGCCATCCCGCCTGGACCGCTTGCGGAAGAACTTGCTGGTCTCCGCGGTCCCAAGCTCCACTTGTCGGGAGCTCTCTGAGCCTCCCTCGCTGTTCGATGCGGCGTCGGACTCTGTCCCCGCATCGTTCCTCCTCTCCTCTACGTTGCCGTTGCCGGCGGTTTTTGTTTCTTGTTTGTATAGGTTTTCCATTTTTGTACCCACGAGTATGGGGGAATTAAAGGTCCACCTTGGCAGAGACCCCTTACCAAGGTAAGCAGATTTAGAGGATTTATTACTCGCCAGGGGGTCTGCAGGTACCCTGGCGAGGAGCGCACTAACGACTGATTTGTTCATAGAACCCCGTCAGCCATCCATCCCCTCGCGGTGCGTCGCCGCTTGAGATTCGGGGTAACTTTTTATAGAGGTTTTCTCCCTCGCGGTCCGGGCAGTTAAGCCAAGACCCTCGGTCCCTATCAAAGCCGCGAGACGTGATCCACGACACTTCGATACTGGGATTACGAGACCGGCGGTGACAGCAAAGGATGAATCCTTCACTGTCTGCCCGGAGGCAGGGTAAGTGCACACCGAGCCCGCCCTCACTCCTCTGCTATGCCCTCTGCTAATCAGAGGGTCACGCAGTGGAACGTACCGTTGGTCCGGGACGGACCCCCCCCCCCCATGTCAGAATAATTAGCCGCGGCAGTACCATTCCCCAAGGAGTAAGAATTTCTTCTCATTTCTCGAGGAAGATTACTGCCGCGCCCAGGGTGCACCGGCCCAGTATCTGCTCTTCCCTCCAGACGTATCGAGAGGGACCCGCAACTACCAGGCACACGTGGAGGACTTCTGACTTCGCACCCCGGCTAAAATCTCTGCGATCGCCGTTTCGTCAAGGTCATTCAGGCTAGTTAAAACCTTAATAAACTCGACTTTACAATGTTATATTAAATATAAAATATTAGATACATTTTTTTTATATTAGTTAAAACTTTTTAAAGAAATGACAAAAATAGGCTGATGCGATGTTACCTCAAATGTTACTTCTTTGTTCTTCTTGACTTAAATTTGACATTCTTCTGATTCTGGACGAAGCTTTCAAGATTACAACCGCTGCTTTCCTTTTTAAATAAATCTGCCGTTTCTTGAATAATTTTGGTATTTGGTCATTATATAAAAAAAAATCCATAATTTATTTTCCTCACTCTTTGTAGCTGTTGTCTGTTGTCTTCAGATACGAGTACTATACGTACTTTTTAGTTTCTGCAAAATTATTATTGTGGCCTCTTTTTTTTAATTCATATTCATTTAAATTTCGTCACATCCGGTATTGCGTCCATTCCGTTGTAATATATTTGCTTTTAAATGATCAATCCATGATAATTTACATTATTT